GTAATGTCACAGGGATAGTGGGAGTGCTCCCTGGCTTCTGCTACTATCAGTATTTGGTCTTGCCATAGTTTTAGCTGTTCAGGATCTTTAGTTATTTGAATTCTATATGAATTTTAGGGTGTATATTTCTAATTGGTTGTTGGGGAAATCATGATGCATTTTTCTTTAGAAAAACAGAAAAATGTGTCATAATGTTTCTGTTCTAATATTTGTACCAGATAACATTGTCACAATGTCAGTAGCAATTTTGTCAGTTTTATCTGTTCAAGGAACCAACTTTTGGGTTTCTTGATAATTTTATTTTTAAAAATTTTTTTAGCTTATTTCCATTTAATTTTTATCACTGCCATTCATTTGCTAACTTTGGACTTATTTTGCTATTTCTTTTCTAATTCCTTATGATATAAAGCTATTTATTTGAGATCTTTCCTCTTTAAAAATTTATTTAATTTTCTTTATTATTATTAATATATTAAAATTTGTTATAGGGCACATGTGTTCACCAGAGAGAGAGAGAGAGGGAGAGAGAAAGAGAGAGAGAAAGGAGGAAAGTTAGAATGCAAGCTGCCAGGTCCAGGACTTGAACCACAGTCAACCATGTAGGAGTCCAGTACCTTAACCACCATGCCACCTATTGACCCAACCTATGAAGTTTACTCTGAGCCTTGCCTTCACTGCATCCCATAAGTTTGGTATCTTGTATTTTTATTTTCAGTTCTCTTTATTTCGTAATTTCCCTGGTCATTTCTGAAGAGTATATTGTTTAAGTTTCCACATATTTGTGAATTTTCCTGTTTGCTTTCTACTATTAATCTTTAACTTCACTCTATTGTGGTTAGAAGAGATACTTTGTATGATATCTATCTTTTTAAATGTATCATAACTTGTTTTGTGGCCTAACTGTGATCTGTCTTGGAGACTATCAGATGTGCACTTAGGAAGACGTATGTTCTTTTGTTGGGTAGATCATTCTGTCTATTTCTGTTATGTAGAGTTGGTTTATTATGTTGTTCAAGTTCTTTATTTTCTTACTTTTATGTCTGATAAATCTACTTACTACTGAAAGTAGAACACCGAAGTCACCAACTATAACTATACAATTGGCTATTTCTCCCTTCCACTCCGTCAATAGTGAAAAACTCAGGGCTTGAAGGTAGGGTGTCACGGATGACTGAGACAAGAGACAAGGTGAGAGGTAGGGAATCAAGGGGGGGGGAGCGAAATATATAAGAAACAAGAAATGGGAAATTATTTGCCGATAACATGTATGGTAATATCTTTGAGCCAATATACAGTGTAATCTGGATGGAAAATCTCATTTTGTAGACTGTGTTGACATACAGTGAATGAATGTAAATACATTTTAAAAATAAATTTAAAAGCCTCTTTAAAAAAAAACAAAAAATTACATAGCTTTGGTAACTTTACATTTCCTTATTATGACTACAGTGTGTAAGATTATTTGGTGGTGCTGTGCGCTATAGTTTTAGACTTGAAAATTCCTTAAATCTATTTTGACTAAACCACAGTGCCTCTAGAGTTTACTACCAACTAAGAGGAAGTATAGAAAACAGAAAGCAGTTTGAAAGTGCATCAGGGGACACGGTCAGTAAAATCCAGACTGTAGAAAAAAATTTATTTTTTTGCATGAGTTATACACACACACACACACACACACACACACACACACATATATATATATATCATACATTAAATTGCTATACATCATTTAGATTGTGAAGAGACTGTAGAAAATTTTACAGAACACAGAACTCATTTTTTTAACAAATAAATGGCAAAAAGGAGAACGCGAGAATAAGTGTGAGAGTATGTGTATGTGTTTGTGTAGGCATGCAAGTGTAAGAGAGCAAGACAGAGAACTGAAGAAAGAAAAAGTGAGAAGAACTCTGTATAATACAATAGACTCTAAAGACATACCTAACTCATCCCAGTTTGTGGATCTTAATTAGGTTTTTGTTGTTGTTGTTATTGCCATGGGGTGTGTGTGTGCTCATCTGAGACAGAGAGAGACAGTGGAGGGAAAGTGAGAGATCACTTAAAGCAAAGTACAGGCATGTTTTCTCATCTGTGGGGACAGCCACTGCGCAGTTCCTTCTCCATTCTTCTCCTGAGATTTTGGGCACTCACATGCATGTGCTCAGTGTGATTGGCAAGCCTCCAGGGCTGGGACTCAAACCACAGTCGTCCATGTGGGAGTCCAGCACCTTGTCCACCACACCATCTGATAACCCTCTTAATTAGATCATGATTCAAAGAAATGAACTGAAAAACAATAACAGGAAACTTGAACATTGTATAGTTTGGTTTTGAAATTTTAAAGATAACTTAAGAATAAGTATAATGATAATAATGCTTTCGAAAAGCATCATCATTTAGAATATACTCATGTAATTACAGATGAGAAAACATGCCTGTACTTTGCCTTAAATACTTAAGAAAAAGATATGAGGGGAAAGGATTGTGTTAAGAAAAGTTCAGCTGTGAGGTGATAACTGAGCATGAGGGTGCTCCGTGATAAGGACCTCTCTACTTGTGTATGCTATTGAAACTCTGCCTTTGAGTAAGTATGGTGGGTCTACCTAGGATAAAATGGCAGCTGAATCTGCCATTTTATGAGCTGAATCTCTTAACACATGACCTTCAAAGAAGGTCATGAAAAATACACATTTTGTATAAAAACTATGCATTGATTGACTAAAGTTTTTACACCCAAAGTTGTACTTTGATTCATTTATTTCCCTGAGCTTTCTGAAATCGTCTCGTATATGTCACAACTCTGGGGTTAACAAAGAGTAAAAAATTACCACTTACATCCCTGCCCTTGTAACAAGCAAAGATCAGGGACCAGCAATTGCTATAATGGCTATGTCGCTGGACTCCCATGTAGTCGACTGTGGTTCAAGTCGTGGGCCCGGTGGCTTAAACTCACGCCAGGCATGTGTGCGTGCGTGCTCAAGATCCCAGGAGGAGAATGGAGGAGAAGGGATTGAGGCATGGCCATCCCACCTGGGGGGTGACTTCTCGCTTTCTGTCTCTCTGTCTCTCTCTGGTGAGCGCACATGCCCTATAGCAAAAACCACTTAAAAACAAACAACAACAAAAAGATCACAGAATGATGTAGACCTCAAGTAGTGTCATTTAGCCAGGTCTGGGAGCCACACACAGGAGAGGGAAGTGCAGACACTCTGCGAATAGAGGAGAGGCAGTAGGGAGGGCCTGATGGGGCCATGCAGGCAACACAAGCTGGTAAGGATGCTGCCTCCCATTCTAAGGCAGGGCCTGGACTGGGAAGAAACTGAGGCAGGGCCCAGTTTACGAGCTCTCCCTTGTGTCCTTGAACTGGCCGGTATTCAATTTCTCTGCTGTGAGTTTTACTGTTATTACGGTACCCTGTAAGGGTAAAACATCACCCCCAACCATTGCAATAAAGCCAATTAGTGATCTTGTAGGAATGTGGTTCCCTAAGACTGACAGGAGGATCAGGAAGTTTAAGACTCCCCCACCTGTCTGTTTTTAAGCCAAAATTAACATATAGATTAAGTTAGTATAAACCAAATTAGCATTAGAAGTATATGTAGACTAAGTTAGTTTAAGGTTAGTTTTACTTACATACC